CATTATAGGTTGTTTGACAGCATCTCTATCTTCTACCTGCAAGATGCCAGTAACATCTCCCAAGATGTGATGATAAAAGTATCTCCAGACATTGCCAAATGTGCCCTGGAAGGCTAAGTTTCCCTTACTGAGAACCACTGAGTTGAAAAGAATGTATATTTTGCAGTTATTGGGTACCATATCTTATAATTGTCAGTAGGTCATGGTGGTTGATAGAATTATTCAGATCTTCTATGTTTTTCTTGACCCCCCCCCCACCTAGTTTTTCTGTCAGTTGCTGAGAAAGGGGTGTTAAAATATCTTACTACGATCGAGGAATTGTCTTCTCCCTCTAATTTTGTCAATTTTTGCTTCATGTATTTTTTTACTTTTAAAAACTTTTTAAAGGTATAATTTATATACCATATAATTTATGCGTTCAGTGACATTTTTAAAATTTACTGACCCGTGCAAAACTATCATTATAGTCCAGTTTTAAAACATTTCCATCACACCAATAAGATCTGTTGTACCTGGCAGTTAATCTCTGTTGCAAGTCCCAGGCCACCACTAAGCTACTTTCTGTCTTTAGATATTTGCCTTTTCTGGACATTCATATAAATAGGATCATGCAGTATGTGCTCTTTTGTGTTTCATTTCTTTTACTTACGTAACATTTTTGGAATTCATATGTGTTGTAACATATATTTTGTTCCTTTTTATTGGTTAATGGTGTTCCAGCTTTATGTATTTTTGAGGCTGCTATGAAGGGCTTTTATATTTTTTTTGTTTTTCTAGTAAATTGACACAATTATTAGGAAATATTTTTTATTATAATTTTGTCTAAAATCTATTTTATCTGATATCAGGATAGCCCACTACATACTTATATTGACTCATCACATAGTGTATCTTTTCCATCCATTTATTTTCAACTTATCTGTGTCTTTGTATTTAAAGTTTAGCTTCGTGGACAGCATATAGGTAGTCTTGCTTTTTAAAACCATCCATTCTGCAGTTTTTGTCTTTTACTTGAAATGTTTATTCTATTAGTGTTTAATATAATTATTGATATTGTCGAGTTTGGGACTTCCGTTTTATTACTTGTTTTCCACTTATTCAAATGTTTTTTGTTCCTCTGTTCCTCCATCTCTGTTCTTTTAAAAAAAATATTATTTGAATACATATGTTGTTTTTTAGTGGTTGCTCTAGAGATTACAATATATAATCTACACTTTTCATAGTGCACTTAATAATATTACTATTTCACATAAAACATAGAAAGCTTGTAACCATCTATGTGCATATTACTTCTACCACCCCACCTTGTTCTTTATGCTATAGCTGTAATATATAGTACATTTACATACATTATAAACCCCACAGAACAATATTATAATTACCATTCTTGATGCTCTTTAGTCTTTCTTGAAGATCTGGATTTATATCTGGTATCATTTCACTTTGGCTTGAAGAACTTCCTTTAACATTTCTTGTAATGCAGTTCTGTTAATAATGAATTCTCTTTGTTTTGCCTCATTCCTGAAGGATGTATTTTTGAGATATAAGAGTTCTACATTGGTAGTTTTTTCTTTTATCTCATTAAAGGTGATCCACTGTCTCCTGGCCTCCATAATTTCTGATGAGAGGTCAGTTTCCAACTGAGTCATACATCATTTTTCTCTAGATGATTTCGCTTTTTACCTTTAGATTTCAACAGTTTTGACTATAATGTGCCTTGGCTGGTTTTTATTGTATTTATCCTTCTCAGTGTTTGTTGAGTATCTTGAAATCTGTTAATGTATATCTTTCACCAAATTTAGGAGCTATTCAGCCATTATTTTTCAAATAGTTTTTCTACTCTATTCTCTCTCCTCCACTTCTGGGACTGTAATTATTTATATAATATTATTTAACAGGTCTCTGAGTAGCTATTAACTTTTATTTTAATCTTTTCTTTATTATCATTGGATAATTTCCACTAATCTCTCTTCAAGGCCACTTGCTCTTTCCTCTGTCATCCCCAGTTTGATGTTAAGTCCATCCAGTGTAGTAATTTTTCAGTTCTGGAATTTCCATAGGTAGGTAGGTAGATAGAGAGATGGTAGATAGGTAGTAGAGAGATGGTAGAGAGATGTGTGTGTATATATATAGTTTCTCTTTCTCTGCTGAGATTTCTTATTTTTTGGTTCATTGTGATTATATTTCACTTTACTGAAGATAGTTATGATAGCATCTTTAAAATCCTTATTTGCTAATTCCAACATTTGAGTCATCCCAGGAATAGTCTCAGTTGTTTTATTTGAAAAATGTCTACTATTTCCCTGTTTCTTCATAATTTGTAAATTCAGATCATATCTAGGACGTCAACAGTGTTAAGTTCGGGAGACTCTGGGTTCTGTTATTTTTCTTCAATGAGTATTAAGTTTCTTTAGTTTTAACAAGCAGTTATTTTGATTGGACTCAAACTACAAACTTGTTGCTTAGGCAACAGCTAGAATCTTGAGTCAGGCCTTTTGTCTCTAGCCAAGCTTCCCTGCGTGGGTAGGGAGAGCTGGGGATATCTTCTC